ACCCACACTCCCAGCCTTCCAAATAAAACACAGCTGTTAAAACACACACACACACGCACACACATATACACATCCTTTGACTCACCTCTCCAGCATTCTCCAACACTATAGACTCCCCCACGTTGCAGCCTCATGATCCCAAATTCGTCTGGCTCCCTCCCTCTTACACATCTTTGTACAGCAGTGTAACAAGGCTGGGGCTAGCACCAGAAGGAGGATATGAGTGTGTCCTCCTCAGAGAAGAGAAAGTCCAGAACCTGAGATCAAGTCCCACTTTACCTCTTCCCGGCCTGGTGTCAGGTAGCCAATTCACTTAATCCTAGGCTGGAAAACAGGGACAGCATCACCTACATGACCGGACTACCCGTTTCCTCAGTCAGTCAACAAATATTAATTGAGTGCCTACTGTGTGCCAGGCACTCTGCTGGATGCTTGGGATATTTGAATGAGCAAGATGGACCAAAAACACTGTGCCCTCATGAACCTTACATTCTGGTGCTGGGAGATCTGTAAAATGGGGATTGCTCATAATATTTCTGTGAGAATTAAATAAGATAATACATGAAACACACAACATACAGCCTGGCACAGGGTCAACTATTCTTATTATTACATTGATATTTACAGTATAAGCCATTTTGCTCACCATTATCCTTAATAAGAAGCTGCTCCTTTTACCTGGAATGTCCCTCCCTCCCTTTTGGCACCCCTTAATCTACCTGCTAGAAGTTCTCTGCATCTGTCTAGGCTCAAAACTGACTTCCCACACTTCCTCCTGGGAAGGATTCAGGAGCTGGGAGCTGGAGGAGTGCTTGTCTGCATCTCCACTAATCCTTTCTCATGGGTCTGCCTGGCACTGACTCTGTTCTACCGCCACTGGCAGCACCTGTGTCGAATAAGTTTGCATCCTCCATAGGCCAAAACAAGGCCCTCACACATATGGTGAGTGGAACTGACTTGAAAAACAAAATGCAAAAAGAGCTGAGAAGAGGTCAGACATTGAGGCGAGGAGAAAGTGCACATTAGAGAAAAAGTCTGAGAGAGCCAAATAACGGTGACCCTTAGTACCTGGCCAATGAGTTTAGACTTGAGTGAGCCCTCAAAGTCACAAATTTTTGAGCATCCAGGTAGAGTGGACCCTGATGGGCAGAGGATGAGCTGGCCCAACGGTGACCAAAGGAAAGCGCCCTGGAGGCCACAGCTCGACACGAAGCTCATCCAAGTCCAAGGCTATGATCTGAGTATTCTTGTCACAGGGAATCAAATTGCCCAGCAGAGCACTGTAATTCTCTATATTTTATCTTTCGTGCAGTTCCCTGCAAAATGGCCGGATTCCTCGGAAGGGGAGAATACACCACCCAAAAATATGCCACTTTGGCACATAGATTATTTTGAATTAAAGGTAATGAGAAACAGCCGAGACAAGAAGGACACACTGACCCTTGTCTCCCTGAAAGCAGGAGATAAATCTCCCATGTGAAAGGATCCCCCCGTACCAGGAGAATAGAAGGTATCCTTATCCCCAGATAAAGGGAATTTAGGGCCGAGAAGGCTATATAAGCAAATCTTGTTACTTCTCCACTAATTTAATACCTGAAGTCCCAAACCCTTTTGTCTTGTCAATTCTTCACAAATTTATTGTTTGTCTAAAAGGTGTAAAAGCTTTCTGTTTTGGTCACCTCTTTGAGTCTCATTTTTTATGGGGCTGCTGTACATATGAAATTAAATTTGGTTTTCTCCCGTTAATCTGTCTTATGTCAATTTAATCATTAGACCAGCCAAAGAACCTAGAAGGGAAGAAGGGAAAATCTCTCTGCCCCTATACCTCCAAAATGTCATCACCATTTTCTAGGGCTAGCAGGCCTGTCCCCTTTCCAAGTGCTGCCCCCATTAACAGGAAGGCCCAGTATCTAAAAGAATTAAAACTTCTCAATCTAAATGTCACTGGAACTTCAAATAAAGGCATAGCTAAACTCAGACTTGGCTTAACTCTGACAGACACACAGGAGTCCCGCCAGCTCACCAGGCACACAGGAGCTCAGACAAACGTGCCATGGTGAGGGCAGGTGGGCACTGATACTGAGTGAGGCTCAACACCCAGGAAAAAGATGGAGTGGAGTCGATTCAGGTAAACTGGGTCAGGGTATCATAGATAAAGCTCATTCAAGCTTCCAGATTTTCCACAAAAACAAGGAAACAAGGCAATCATTACTTAAGAAATTTGAGACCAAGAAAAATGTCCGATCAGGCAAAATGGACAGCCTCCCAGGAGCACTGTGGGCATTTTGGGGGCTTCGGGGATGCCTGTCTACCTGGCTCAATACTTTTTTTTTTTTTAGTTTAAACCTGAATGTTGTGCCTGCCACTGCCACTGTCCCCACCATCAATCTCTGCTGTAACTTAAAGTGTCATCTTTGCTTCAGAGACTGTCCATTTCCCCCAATTCTTCTTCCTTTTAAAGATTTCTTACTAACAAAGATTTTACTGGCCTTAAGAATCTCAGGCTGCGCTCCAAGGAAACTTGTTACAAAAGCCATGAGCCCACGGTCAGCTGTGTCACTGACTGGAAAACTGGAGGCAAGGCAGTGACCTGTCACCTCCACTTCCCCATCTGGGAAAGGGAGAGAACAGCTAGTTAGTTCCTCAAGGTCAGCAAAAACAATGCCACAATGCCAGAGGCCCACACCCTAACCTCCACTTCAGTTCTTAAAAATATCCTCAGGATTACTGTACCTTCCTGACTCAAACAACGGGCTTGCAGGCCCTACTCTGGCTAGTAAAAGAATCTTCATCTCAAAAGCAAAGATAAAATAATAAGAGGATATATACCATAGAAATGGGCCTTTGGTAGCAAGCACAAGAAAACAGAACTCAGCAAACAGAAGTTTAAGAATTCCACAAGGCAAAGTCTCTATTTGTCCCTGAGAGCCACGGGCTGGGAAGTCAAGAGAGAGGGGGTCTAAGCTCAGATCTACCACTAAGCAGCTGTAAGGACTAACAGGTGATGGGCCTCAGTTTCTTCATCTATAACACCATGATGGCCCCGCTCCTGACACTGCAGTTGTAAAATTCTGAGCAGAGTTAAAGACTCCCCTTTCAAATGTACAAATCCAGAATTTGTGGCAGCCTTGCAGCACCCTCCTTTGCTCTCCCTCAAAAAAAAAAAAACAACAACAAAAGTCCTAATAGCAAGGAGCCATTATTCCCTACCTTGCCAGCACTCACACAAGTCCCCACTGGGCCCCATGTCAGGCAGCCAGCTTGGTGTGGACAGACAGGCAGAACCAGAGTAACTAAAAGCATCCTCCAGCCTGCCTTTGCAGATGCTACTGGTGTGAACCTCACAGCCGCGTCCTATGGTACTTTCACAGTTCCGCTACAGATTTCAGCCTCCTCCATCTCTACACCACGCCCTCCCTTCCAAAGTCAGCTTCCCAGGGAAATGCTGATGTTCTCCTCAGCCTCTCTGGAGATGCCCCAAAGAAAGCTTGCAGTTGCCACCTAAAACTGGTTAGTCTGTCATAAGATCAATTAACAGATTATGATTAACTTTTTTAAAAAACCGAAAATAGAAAATATCATTATACTTCTCCCTGCAGAGAGAATAAATATACCATGAAGCTCTTGGTGCAGTTTTATATTTACATATGTATGTAGGTGGGTGTGGGTCTCTATAGTGGGTCTTGGTCAAAAAAGACTGAGAAACCTTATAGGCCTGAGGCAGTGGAATCTGACTTTGGGGGTGAATGCCACACACACCCATCGCACCAGCATTCCCTGCAGAGGATGCAAGTGCCAACAAAGGGTGCTTAGAACGCAAGCACCCATCCTGCAATTCTACAAAACAGTGCTGATGGAAAACAGTTGAAAGAAACTTCTGACTCTCCTACAAAGTAGTGCTTTCTATAAGGCACGAAACAGGTTGCTCAACAAAAGACCCAGTGATCTGGGTAACAGCCTTGCCACAAAAAGGTGCCTGGCCCCCGGGAGGCTCAGCACGAGGCATCGGGGTCGGGGTGGAGAGAAGCTGGGTGCTGGGAACGCAAGAACCTTTGCTCCCGGCTCTTCCTTCCCAGCGTAAGAGTTGACTGGGCCAACAGCAACTGGGCTAGGGACTAGAGACGTCAGAGTCCCTTTCTCTCCCCTTGTTTGAAAATGTTTTATTTTTCATATTGCACATCTCCTTAAGAATCTTCCCTAGGAAGCATCAAAGCTTGCAGCCGCCCAGAAACGCCCCCAGCTGGGAGTGGAGCTGGCCTGCCCTGCACACCGAAAAATAGGCGCTATTTCAGCCAGGTTGCAAACACGCAGGGCTCCCCGGCGGCGCGGGGACAGAGGGGGCGGAGTGCGCCTCCCAGGTTCCAGGCTCCGAGCCCACGTTTGAAAACGCTCCGGAGCAGAAGCCTGGGCTTCTGGGCTCTCCGCTTTTGAGCCTTCGGCCCCTGCTGCCACCCCGCCCCCAGACTCGTTTAGCCGAGGACGGCGGACGGTGCAGGCCCCTTCGGGCAAGCCCAGCTCACGATCGGGCGGGCTAGGGAAAAGGCCTGCCCGCGGCTGGAATCGCGACCCTCCTCCTGCCAGGAAATCCCGCCCCGAGCCCCGGCGCCTGCCAGCCAGAGTGCCCCGGGGGCGCGTCCGCTGGTCCTTTCATCAGAACCTGCTGGCGGCCCACGGGTCCCCTGCAGGATGAGGGAGGTGGGCCTGGGAGCGGCAGGTTCGGTACTCCGGTGGGGACGAGGCAGGCCGCGCGCCGCCGCAGTCCTGTCGCAGCCCCTGCCCTAGTCCCCCAGAGCCGGGAAGGCTGGAGCCGCCCCCCGAGCCCAATCCCGTGCAACAGGCCCCCCATCTGCACCTGGATGAGAGCGGGGCCCACGGGGATGGCCCGCCCGGCCGCCGCCTCGGGGGTCGTCAGCCCTGGCGCGCGGCCGCTTCCCGCCGGGAAGAGGCGCGGGGCCCGGAAGGCTGGAGGCGCCCCCCGCGCTTCCCGCGCCGCTACGCACCTCATTGCCCGCGGGTCCCACATGGCCGGGGCCGGAGGGACCGCTGCCGCCGCCGCCTCGGCAGCCGCTTCACGGGGGACAGGGCGCGGCGGGCAGTGCGGAAGCTCGAAAGCCGCGGCCCTGGGCAGGGGCGGCGCGGGGTCCCCTGCTCGCGGTGGCTCGGCTCCCGGGCCGTGACGAGCAGGGGCGGGGGCGAGGGGACCCCGGGTCCCGGCTGTGTGCAGCCGCAGACCTATTCCAAGTTTCCACGTAGTTGCGAAAGCCCGAAAAGTGTCACGTGCACGTCGCCGCTGGGTGGGAGGGGGTGTTTGTCACTGTGTTCAAAAGAGGCGTTTCGTTGTCTCCCATCTTGCGTGAGTGCTCCAATGGGGTGTCTCTCGGCCGCCTTTGAAAAATAAGTGTTTCGAGCCGGTGACCACGAGGGACAGAGCGTGCACACACAGACACACCCCTCCGACATGTTTCGGTCATCGGTGAATTCTGCTTTCGTAAACTGGGGCCCGCCGCGATTGTAGGGGAAACTGAGGAAATGGTCAGCCAACGGCCTTGGCTCGCCTCTCCTCCTTCCCTCCTGTTCCTCTCCAACAAAGAAACTAGGGAGAAAAGCCCACGGGTCAACGAACGCCGTGCCCATTAGCTCCCGCTTCCCGGCTGCCTCAGTCATTCGTTGGGTATCGAGTACTTACCGTGTGCTCGGCTCTCCATTCTGGAGACGCTGGGGATTCACACGCAAAGAGGCCAGTGAGGCCCCTGACGTCTTGATGCTCGCAGCCGTGTTCATGGCGCTTACGGAGGCGTGAACCTCTCACCACAGGCAGGAACTAACAAGGAACCTCCTGGAAGGGCAGTGATGACCGAAAGAGTTGGGAGACGGTTAGGACAACCTCAGGCTGCCATTTCTCCTTCGGTTGTCGGCGCAACAAGCTGCACACCCTTTCGCTCACAGCTCCTGTTTGGTCCTCAACTTCTAGGCGAAGGGGATTACTCTCCTCCACGCCAGGGATTTGGCCCAATCAGAGAGCAAAGCCCGCAGCCCTCTCTGGGGGCAAGGCTTTCGCCTACACTGCCTCCTGGTGGTTCTTGCATCCACCTGGGAGACCACGACACCAGGCGGGCCCAGGGGCAGGGAGAAGGACACCACAGTGCTTTAGCGAGAGGAACAGTACAGTTTCCAATGAGGCAGGCAGTATTTGGTGACTCATGGACACACCTAATGCACACAGCCCGTGTATTTCTCTACGCTGCTTATTCTGAATCAAGAACTAGCCTATCAGTCTAGCTAGTGGTCTCCTTGCTTCTGGAGGAGTCTCACCTTTAATTAATCTTCCCCAAATATCACATTGCATCACTTTCGATTAAAAAGCCTTCAGTGGCACCCCCATTGCCTACAGAGACCAGATTAGGTAGCTGGGCGTCTGAGACTCTTGGTGATTTTACCCTACCTTCCAGTCTTCTCCTCCTCACACAAACACTGTACTCCAGTGGTTCCCAAACTCGGCAGCACATTAGAATCACCTGAGGATCTTTAAAACAATATTGATGTCTGTCTCCTACTCCCAGATAGTCTGATTTAGTTGTTATGGGGTATGACATGGACATCAGTATTATTAAAATTCCCCAGGTGATTATAACATGAGGCAAAGTTTGGGAAACACAACTGGTCTCCAAACAGTTGGAGCTACTTGCATTTCTCAGACAAAATTGGTCCTTTCACTTTTAGGAGACTTTACATATCCTTTCTGCAGTGCTTTTCCCAACATCTCCCAGTTTTATATTTAGGAAAGGCCTATGCCACCTTTTCTAGCGTGCCTCTTCTTTTTGGCCAATTGCAAGGAGTCTCTGCTTCCAGAAGGCCTAGGCAGGGTCTTACATCAAGGAGAACAAGCCATGAGATTGGTGAGGTGACACTTGGACCGCCCTTGGACCAGTTCCATAAGCATCTCAGAATCTTCTTGTCATACTTCCTCTGATATCCTTCATCATATTCCTCAAAACAGTCATATCAACTCAAAACAGTTCTCAAAACAGTTGTCTTTCTTTTTAAAACTATTTCTTCTCTTTCTGCTATTTTTATATTTTTACCAAAATTATACATTCTCACAGTTAAAAGGTCAGCCCCCCCCAGCGCACTTCTTCCCCAGAGGTAACCACTTTTATCTCTGTTAGTTGATCATTTTGATGGCTCTGTCTCTAAATAAAGCTTCTAACTCTTGTTGTTGGGTTTTTTTGGTTCAAGATTTATGCATCATCAGGTAAATTCTTTTTAGATTGTGTTTGTCTTCACCCATGATATAGTTTGGCTGGGTATAAAATTCTAGGTTAGAAATCCGAAAACTTCCAACTACCCATTTTATGTGACTTTTTTTTTTTTAATTTCTGGGAGCCTAAAAAATCTTTTTCTCCCCAATGCTTTGAAATTACTAAATGATGTACTTCAGTGTGGGCCCATTCATCCATTGCACTGTGTATAGAGTGGGTTCTTTCCATCTTGAAACTTAAGCTCTTTAGTTCTGGGAAATGATCTTGAATAATTTTGTTGATTATTTCTTCTCCATTTTCCCTATTCTCTCTTTTTGGAAATCCTATTATTCAAATTATAGGAATCCTATAATCAGACTTCCAGGATTGGTCCCTGTGATATAGTCCCTTGATTTCAAATCACTTCTCCCCTATTTTCCATTGTTTTTGTCTTTTTTGCCCTTGTTTCTGGGAGATTTCTTCAGTTTTATTTTCTAATTCTTCTTAATGAGTTTTTTATTTCTGATATCACATTGTCATTTTTCCAAGAGCTTTTTCTTATCCTGTGAGCATTCCTCTGCTGGGATACCCCACTCTCTTTTCCATGGTTACATACCTTTTCTCAACTCCATGCAGCTATCAATGGTAGTTTTTGTTTTCTCACGTAGGCTCTATTCTCTGGCTTCCTTTTTCTGTTTCTGTTTTTTGTTTTGTTCTCAATGTTCTGGATTTTCCTCAGACGCTTATCTGTTCAAGATTGAGACTAAGGGAACGAGATGTCCATCAATAGATAACTGATTGAATAAACCACAACATGGAGAACTATGTGGCTGTACTAAGAAATGAGGGATCCCTATACAACACTGTGGGCTGAAGGGGAGGAAATACTGTAAAGTGGGAAAAAAACAGGTGAGAAGAGTGTGTATAGTATGCTACCTTTAGAGTAAGGAGAGGTGAATAATTTTTGCATTTGCTTATATTTTCTGAAAGAAACAATGAAAGGAAACCCCAAAACTAAGACAAATGGTTACTTACAAAAAGGAACAGAGTAAAGGGGAAAGATAGGGAAGCAAGGCTTCCTTAAATACATCTTGTTTTATAGTTTTTACTTTGGGACCATGTGAACATTTAACATAATAGAAAGGTTAAGTCTAATTTCTAAAAAGTAGTTCCTAAAATTGAAATGAACTTAACTGTCTATCAAGCAGGTAGCATAACCAAATGAAAATTATTTTGTGACTTTAAAACACAGTTTTTTGACTAAAGGGATATACCCTAAGGGGAAGAAAAGAACCAACAAAAAAATCTTGAATTTAATAGTCTTATTGTTATTAAGTAATATTGATATATTTCAAAAACATTCTTAAAAACATTTATTTAGGGGCCGGCCCTGTGACTGAGTGGTTAAGCTCGTGCACTCTGCTTCTGTGGCCTAGGGCTTCGCCAGTTCGGATCCTGGGTGCAGACCTAGCACCACTCATCAGGCCATGCTGAGGCAGCATCCCACATAGCTGAACCAGAAGGACCTACAACTGGAATACACAACTATGTACTGGGGGGCTTTGGGGAGAAGAAGAGGAAAACAAAAACACTGGCAATAGGTGTTAGCTCAGATACCAATCTTTAAAAAAATTTTATTTAAAAATATTACTTGGCAACATTTTTATTACTCGGTAATGTATATACATTAGAATAAGCAAATAATCAATTATGATAATGTCATTTAACACCAAGATTTTCTGTGTAAGGGAAAAGAAATACAAATAAAAATCAAAGAGGTTAGGGAAAATTCTGTAATCTGAAAATGGAATTGGAAATATCAATGTGAACTTGGAGTTTACTGTCTAGCTCTATTCAACTGTCCATCCTTGATGTGATGCAGTGTGTCTGGATTCAATAATAGTGTGCACTGTTGGGCCCTAGGAGGTGATCTCTAAACACCATTCCTCTCTACAAGGAACCAGGACTTTTTAAAGAAAATCACTAATTCCATGTTGAGGGCAGAAATGTATAAGTTGAGGCTGGGACATTTTGTTTTTCCAGAAAGCAAAAATAAACTGCCAAAGGGGAATAGAGTTGTGTTTAAGCATCAAAGAAAACCATTTTTCTAGTTCTATCTTTCTTTCTGAATTTATTAGTTAGAATTCTTCAATGATGAATTTTCCACCTTTAATCATTTGGTTGTCATGAAAAACAATTTATATAGAAAAGGCAGGATAAATATGTATTTCCTCCCTTTATTTACCAGTTTTCAGAATAATGACTTGGTACCCTAGAAACTAACAAATTTTTTTTAATGAACTCATGAATTTTTTTTTTTTTTTTGAGGAAGATTAGCCCTGAGCTAACTACTGCCAATCCTCCTCTTTTTGCTGAGGAAGACTGGTCCTGAGCTAACATCCGTGCCCATCTTCCTCTATTTTATATGTGGGACGCCTGCCACAGCATGGCTTTGCCAAGCGGTGTCATGTCCATACCTAGGATCCGAACCGGCGAACCCCGGGCCACCGCCACCAAAGTGGAATGTGCAAAATTAACCTCTGCGCCACCAGGCTGGCTCCGAACTCATGAATTTTTAAAGACTATTTCATGTACTTTAATCATTACAGTCATTTTTCTTCTTAACGCTCTAATTCCCCTATTTGAACAATGGGAGCCCATCCATCAATGATCATCAGTGGTAGTAAACCTACTAGGAGAAAGAAGAGATCTGGTTATTTCTTTTTACCCCATTTATCAGTCCTAACATCACTAAAACTGGGACAGCCAAACATTAAGTGCCTCCTGATGTGATATAAAGGGAAGGACACAGCAACTCAGATGAAGAATTCTTATCCCAAGAAAATGAATCTGAATCTAAGCTAACCTGTAAACTAGAGGTTCATAAACAAGGATCCATGGATAGAATTCAGGAAGTCTGTGAACTTGAACAATAACATAATTACCATCTTGATTTTCACTAAAGTTTAACTTAAATTTAGCATAATTTGTCTTCAATTATAAATGTAGGTAAATGCAAACAAAAAACAAAATTACAATAAAAGCAGTACCAAAAACTTTGTCAACAATGA